AGCATTTTAAATTATGTAAGTATGCCTGAAAGATGAATTTCAGATGTTTGTGTACTATGTGTTTTCGCAAAGGACTGAAACATTCTTATCACTGAAAATATGCATTCATGATGTAATGCCTACCTCTGACTGTGGTTATTGTCCATGGTGCTGTCCAAAAACTGTCATCCCTGAATGAAAAGCACAGCATTTATGGCTGTCAAATGATTAAAATATTTAATCAAAATTAGTGGAGAAATATACACATCTATGTTTATTATTGGTGCAACAATCCAAAACAGTAGGAAATGCTATACAGAATATTCGGTAAAAGTACTGCATGCGCATAAAACATACCAAGAGCAGACTCACAAAAAACATCCCGTTCTAAGTGGGATCACAACAGAAAGACACAAAAACACAAATGAAATAAAATGCACACATCACAGAAGGATGTTTAATTCAGAACTATGATTCAGCCTGTAAAGTGAAGTTATGATATAGCTTCCAGTTTACTGTCTCTCCTTTTGTATTCAGCGGAGGCTGAGCGACCAACCTCTTTTTCCTTCAGGTGGCAGAGCAGGTCAGCCACTAATCAGAAGGTCGGTGGTTCGATCCCAGGCTGCATCCTGGCTGCATGCCAAATGTCCTTGGGCAAGATACTAACCCCGTGTTTGCCTACTGGTGGTGGTCAGAGGGCCCGGTGGCGCCTGTGTCCGGCAGCCTCGCCTCTGTCAGTGCGCCCCAGGGCAGCTGTGGCTACAATGTAGCTTGCTATCGCCAGTGTGTGAATGTGTGTGTGAATGGGTGAATGACTGAATGTAGTGTAAAGCGCTTTGGGGTCCTATGGACTAGAAAAGCGCTATACAAATGCAGGCCATTTACCATTACCATTCCTCTGACTTCCTTTTCTGTGTTAATGCTTCATTATCATATTACCTTTGACAGTGTGTGTAGGTGAAAGAAATAAAGAGAGAATGTGACATTTAACTGCGGTACATTGTGTTGGTAAAGGTCCTAAATTACTAAACTTAAACCTATATTAATTGTTTTTTCGCTAATGTAGAGGCAGATCAGAAGTCCAACAACAACACAAATGCTGCAGTCACATACTAAAACTGCCAATATGAGTACAGAGTAAATCCCAGCAGATTGTCTGAAGAGTGATCTTCATGAATCCACTCCAAAAACAAATCAGGAAGATGGAGAGGTCACATTCATACTGAACTTTGGGATCGTAGTCAAAAACAGTAAGATAGAAAGTCAGAGCACAGAAAAATAAGCAGTAACTCACAGGGCTGCTGTCAGCTGACAAACTGCTGTAGATCATTATTACAGTTGTAAAGCTGAGGAATCAGAATTTTTTAGATTAGAAAATTAATCATGAATGATCTGATATTTTTGTTTACAGAAAAAATAAATACAGTTTGGTCACAGTATGATTGTTACTGAGGTGGAGCTGTGTGTTGGTAGGATGGAGGAGCATTTCATGTGGATATTAGCAAAAATCAGTATTCAGAGAGAATCCTCTTTAATGGACCTCACACTGACTTTTGTAAACAGAAATGTAGTACATGAAGTAAAGGTGAGCTATTACACTGATTTCCAGCTCCATACTTGATTCTTGAACACTTCTGGAACAGTTTATCATGATTAACAGTTCACAATGATCCTTGTTTATCTCAGACTGGGCCTTGGTGCAGCCTCTGACTCCATCCTCTCTGAAACAAGCTCTTCAGCTCCTTCAGCCTCAGTTTAAACCAGTCATACAAACTGTGGGGCTACAGGTGGGACTGTGATGATAACAGAAAAATATGAAGAGGAAGTAAACTAAAAATGTATGCTTTGTAAGGTTAAAAAGAATGATCATGACTGATAAAAAATAAGCGTGAACTTTCTTCTGGTTAGCTGTCCCTGACTCATACCTGACTTTTCCTTCTGTCCTCATCACTGTTTAATTAATGTTTTGTCTTTCAGGGACACCTGTGACCAGAGTGACGGTGAAAGAAGATGCTGATGCCATTTTACCCTGTTCCCTCAGCACCAATGAGAACATTGAGTCAATGCTGTTTGACTGGAAGATAGAAGGAACAGTTCCACAAAAGAATGTGTTCCTGTATGATGATGGCAAATATTACAATTATGGCCTCTCAGGTCAAGATGATGAATTCAAAGGTCGAGTCTCACATTTTCCAGGAGAGCTGAAGAATGGCAACGCCTCCATAAGAATAAAAAAAACTAGGTTGGAGGACAACGGAACCTATTTATGTAAATTTCCAAAACTGAAGCCAGAAATCAGAACATTCCACATTGAGCTTGCTGTTGGTGAGTGCTGTTATAAATCAGCTGATTACTTACAGATGAAACAGTCAGTACACACATCTGGCAGGGTCTCACCCCCACAGCACACCTGCATTAATATTCAGTGAACAAAACTGAGACCTTCCATGTGCATGCTGGTCCTGCGCCTGTCTACTTATCAGAAATCTGAGGTGTCCATGGAGTCTTTAGTAAACAAAATAAAATAAACAATTGTTCATTTCTTCTGAAATATCAGACACACAGCTGTTCAGGGTGTTTTCTGACTGTGTCATTATGACACATTTGTGACCATAAACCAGCCTCTTGTTTAAATGTATCAGGACATTTATTTAATCTGTGACTGTGCCTTCTCTTTTAGTTTAGGATTATAAAATATGTCTAATATAGCAGGTTAACATGTCTGGGTTTCTTTTCTCTAGTTTTATTTGACTGCCAAGTTGATGATAACCCAGTCACCTCTAACATGTGTGTTTGTTTCCTTTCAGAGGGCATATTAATAATCTGTTAGAGCCTCTCACAGTCATGTGCACTTCTGCATGTCTGTAACTACCAGAATAAACTTTTGAATAATTTCCAAATCATAAATATCTGATACCTGCCTGTTTTATCACTGTGAACTAAAATCTGTGATCATTATTACAGTCTGTCAGTTTTACCCCTAGCTCCAACATAGATCATTTGTTAGAGGATTATGCAGGTATTGACGGAAGCCTTGATATTTTTAACCTTTTACTTAAGATGTTAGCTAGAATTAATCAGTCATTACAAGGGCTAGGAGGCTGAAATTTACAGGATGTACTCTACATTCTGTCTCCGATAAATGCACCAGGTTTAAAGCTGATACAGAAAATTGGCTCTAAAATACTGCAGAAATTAATTGAAAGGGCAAAGTAGAGGAACCCTGAAAACTTACTTCAGAAATTCCACAATAATCTCTCCAAAGTTAAAAAATTATGAGAATTCATTCTGGTGTTTGACATTTCAAATGTTCCTAAATGCTAAACTTAACTTCAAAGCGATTTCCTTAATAATTGAAATAAAAATCTGCTGATTTATTATAATTAATAGGGTCTTTTTCGACAGATAAAATTGGTTTTCTATAATTTATTTTCGTTCCTCACATTGAAACAGCGAGGTTAACCACATTAACTTCCATATGTGGTCAGACAGGTAATTTTTCCAGATTCAAACGGAGCGTAATTTCACTGGGTTAATCTTCTATTGGATGACAGTAGCGGTCAATCAAACACCCACCTGGATGTCGTAAAGATGCTCTGCTGTGATTGGCTGAAAGGATTAACGGCTTTTTGCGTGCATCATTTTACGTCGGATAACGATACGAATTGGTTAATTTTACCCGTGGGAGTTTCAGATTCCAGCGATATCCAACACGATTGGTTAAATTATTTATTAGTATTTTTGTTATTGTTCTTTCAAAAGTTTAGGTGGCTCAGACAAAGTTTACTTAGAGAATACTTTCTTTTTTCCCGTTAGTTTTTTCTGCCAGTCGAACTCAAGCGAGCTGAAACTAATCTGTGAAGTTTGTTTTCTTTAAAACGAGCCCCCGTTTGTCTTCAAAAGTCTCTTTTTGGGCCAATGAACGGCTTGTTAACGGTGATGCATCAAGCTAGGGGTAAGGTTAATACCTTTTTACTGCCGTAAATTAAGACGTTACTGTTTTTATGTGGTAAATACTTCACTGAGATTAACGAATCTGCTGGAAAAAGAGCATCTGGGCTTTGAAATGACGTATAACATGTCTGTATCGATCTTTTCGGTCAAAGTTAAAATATACAGTATGTTTATGTATCAGTTTTTCTATGCAAATTTTGGGTCGCATACACCCTCTGCGTTTTAAAAAGTTAAAGGTCCGAATTAATGGTGAGTCCTCTTAGTTACGTCACTAATCTTTACGTCCTTGTGTGTATATATGAACTGATAGGTAAATACTGAACAATACTTTTACCATCTTATGGTTAGAACCATATAAAATATCTGCAGATTATCTTTATAAACAGTCCGAACAAACGTTTTATTTTATTTTTTGTTTGCTTTGTAAATATTAAGGATTACTTAATTAGGATTCATTCATAATCAGTTCAGTAACTGTGAATATTTGATTGAATAAGACATTATCTTAATTGCACATAGCTGTTCATCCAAATAGAAAACTGTCGCATGACCTACATATGCCCATATATCTCATCCCTCTCAGTGTCTTGGTTCAAATTTACAGTAACCTCTAAAAGTCTGCATTAAAATATATTTTATATTCAAAATTGCAGTTTTTGATATTGTTATTTCTGTAACCTCTACAGTTGTTCAAATATTTATTTATCCAAATTAAATTTGTAGTTTTTGATGTTAAAAATGAATTTGTTTTAATTAATGGCACTTTATCATGTTTCTATATAACGCTTGGACAAATGTTTAAATTGGAGTCACAAGTAATGTATAGAGTGAAAACTCTCAAATTGAATCTCTACCTATCAAAACTGTGCTGTTAGGTACAGTTAAGGTGGAACAACTGTTCTTTATGCTCAAATACATGTGCATTCAGAGTAGGTAAAATAATTGACTGTCATTGTTACTGTCACATGATAATCTGTCTATCATGTGTTCACAGGTGCAGCTCCAGAGCCTTCTGTCACAAATCTTGATCAAACAAATGACTGGGCAGTCCTTAAGTGTGATGTTCAAAGTGGGTCCCCAAACCTACAGTCGAGTGGTGGGACAGTAACAATCAAACCATTCCTTCAGAGGAGCCGCAGGTCTCTAAAAAAGGAGAGCGCTTCTTCATCACTGTCAGCACTACTGTGAAAAAGGATGACAACTATTGCTGCGTTGCCACACAAGAGGACATCTGGCATCAGTCACAGAAGAAAATCTATATACATTTGAATAGTGAGTGGCATTTTAGTCATTAGACGATTCCAATAATTATTGCTTTTCAAAAATGTTAATACATGCTCAGACTGAATACACAGAATGATGTCTGCAAAGAAGCTAAATATTAACTAATGAAATCATAAAGACATGCAGTCAAATGTCTGGAAAATGTTTCTCAGGTGAAAAAAGAAAAGGTCTTTGATAACACAAAAGCAGATTTTGTTTTTATATAAGTCTTCTTACAGATTTCATTATACACTGCTATTATATCAGTGTAACACATGGTCTGATTAAATTACTTTTTTATGTGCTGTAGCAAATGTTTGAGTGCAGATGCTAAAAAGTGAGATGACACCCATTACACTTCTGAGATCTGTCTCATTAAGGAGTAATTTTCCTATATTCTGGGAGTTTCCTGATAGCAAATCATCAAACTATTTTAATAACGTCTGTTGTGGTCCCTAAATCCAAAGCTGAGATTAACCCAACATATTAAGTGCCAAACTGTTGCTGCAACCCAAAGAATATGAAATAACACAAAAATAGCACCAAATATAAAAGATAAAAAATGTAAATATATATAAAAATGTTGCAGTCTTGCACGCCTCTCTGCAGCTTCTCTCCTCCTCTTATCCCTCCAAAGCCCCATCCCCTTAGAGACTGTGTCAGCTCCTAAACAGACAAAAATACAAAAAAAAAAAAAAAGGCAAACTAAAAATCGTATTGGATTATTAAACATTAGGTCTCTCTCCTCCAAGTCTCTGTTAGTACATGACTTAATAATTGATCAACAAATCGATTTACTGTGCCTTACAGAAACCTGGTTGCAGCAGGATGATTATGTTAGTTTGAATGAATCAACACCCCCGAGTCATTCTAACTACCAGAAACCTCGAGGCACAGGCCGAGGGGGCGGTGTGGCAGCAATTTTTCACACCAGCATATTAATCAACGAAAGACCCAGACAGACTTTTAATTCATTTGAAAGCCTGATGCTTAGCCTCATCCACCCCAGCTGTGAAACTCAGAAACCAGTCTTACTTCTTACCATCTATCGTCCACCTGGGCATTACAGAGTTTGTCTGATTTCTCAGACTTTATATCTAATTTAGTTCTGAGCTCCGATAAAGTAATAATTATTGGGGGTGATTTTAACATCCATGTAGATGCTAAAAATGACAGCCTCAACATGGCATTTAATCTGTTATTAGACTCAATTGGCTTCTCTCAAAATGTAAAAGAACCCACCCACCACTTTAATCACTCTCTGGATCTTGCACACACAATCCAAACATTAAAATAACTTTCTTAACTCAAACAAATGTCTCATTTATCATATTAATCAGGCTTATACTTTTAAATCTTTGATCAAGAATAAAAATGATTTAGTATTAGTGAATGTATATATAGATAAACTGGTAAACTGAGGTAAGCTGGGGGACCTCAATCTCTCCGAGCACCCCCTCGCTTGACAACTGTTGCAGCTATAAGAACAGGAGTGAGGTAGTATGAAGGACATGACAGAGAAAAGTCTCTGAAAGACTGAAATGACTCACACACCCACAATAATCTCATGAACTTCATACAAATATCCTGTAAAGGATTTAGAAAAAGCTGGTGTGATTTTTGTGGCTGGCCTTCTCACATATGTATTTGCAGGAATTTAACATTAAAGAGAATAATATCTAAATAAATCATGCAAATGGGATTTGCTAATATTTTCAACATGCAGTTTGTTGTTAATTCCACTAAATTTACTTTTCATGGTTGTCATAGTTTCTTGTTTTATTATATCTTTTATGAGCCTTCAACATAATTTCCTTGTGTATTTATTGATAAATTTATATTTTGGTCATTATTTCACCGTTTTACACAGTTTGTTTTAGTCTCAGTTTTCTCTTCATTATGTTTTCTGATATTTATGCATCTTTGTCTGCTACACTTTTGTAATAAGAACCTTTTCTACCTTTTTGTGTCCACAGAGAAGAGGGACTTGGCACCCCAAGGTAAAGTCCAGAATCCTCATTTTGATTCATACATTACATCATTTGTTTGCTGTCATTCACAGGTTGGCAGTTAGCAAGGTAAACAAACAAAATGTATTAACATTAGGAACCAGCACAGTGAGGAGATCAGTTAGGAAGAACATGAAGCCCTGGAAAAAAATTCGACTTTAAAGACAATCTGGTAATTGGTGAGGGGACAGAGACGACTGTATGTTTAAAAAGTCCAAAACATGTCATAAGGACATATAGGAATGGTGGAGGGGAACTTGATATGGACTTGGAAAAATCAGAACCAGAATACCTATACAAGAAGTAAGAAAAAGCACGATATATATATATATATATATATATATATATATATATATCCCTTACTAATAAACATCTGAAAAAGAAAGTAGAGCATGCGCAACAAAAGGTGTAGCTACAGCAGTATACAGTGTGTTAGGTGGAGTGATTTCCTGTGTCGTTTAGTGGTGCTTCTTGGTAATCTCAGTCTCTCACCGAACGTGCTCCTGTGGCTAGCCAGCATGTCATGGAGTGGGTGGGAGGCATTATCCATGATTGTCCTTGTCTTGGACAACATTCGCCTCTCCATCACTACCCTAAGAGAGTCCAGCTCCATCCCCACAACAGTGTTGGCCTTACAGATCAGTTTATTGAGTCTGTTAGCATCAGCAACCTTCAATCTGCTCCCCCACCTGCTGCTCAGGTTGCTTAGCAACCATGATACTAACCGCGAGAAAAGTCAAAGTCAACTTTGTCATCTCAGAAACGTTCCATACAGCATTGTTTGAAAGAAAAAAGGTTTTTTTGTTCATTATGTCTGTGAAGGTTCTCAGTCATCCAGGTCATCGTAGTCTAAGGAGCTTGGAAAGAAAAGCGCCTGGACTTCTTTGAGTTGCTTGAAGACGTTTCACCTCTCATCCGAGAAGCTTCTTCAGTTCTAAGGTCAAATGGCGGAGAGTCCCAGATTTAAACCCAGTGGGAGCTTCCCCCCAAAGAGGGACAAAGGACCCCCTGATGATCCTCTACCTAATCACATGAGCCAAAATGAGAAAACGGGTGTGGGTCCCAATCAGCCAGGGTTTCGGGTGAGCTCATTGTGAAACCTGGCCCCACCCTATCATGTGATTTCCTGAGGTCAGATGTCCCAGGATGTGAGTGGGCGTTAAAGCGTCTGGGAAGGGAACTGGATTATAGATGGCAGACAGTTGGTGTCGTAAGCCACCGCCTCTGTTCAAAGATGGTCGCTCACAGTGGACATAGATGGCTTCTTTCATTCCTCTTTCAAACCATCTGTCCTCTCTGTCCAAAATATGAACATTGGCATCCTCGAAAGAATGACCTTTGTCCTTTAGTTGCAGATGAACTGCTGAGTCTTTTCCTGTGGAGGTGGCTCTTCTGTGTTGTGCCATGCACTTGTGAAGTTGCCGTTTAGTCTCTCCGATGTAGAGGTCTGAGCATTCCTCGCTGCACTGTACCGCATACACCACATTGTTAAGTTTATGTTTTGGAGTTTTGTCTTTCGGATGAACCAGTTTCTGTCTGAGCGTGTTGCTGGGTCTGAAGTACACCGGGATGTTGTGCTTGGAGAAAACCCTCCTGAGTTTCGATACACCGGCTACATAGGGGAGGACAATGTTGTTGCGTCTGTCCTTCTTATCCTCCCTCGCTGGTGTCTGAGCTTCTTTTCTGTGCATCTTTGCTGACTTTAAAAACGCCCAGTTAGGATAACTACATGTTTTGAGTGCTTCCTTTACCTGTGTGTGTTCCTTCTTTTTTCCTTCAGGCTTAGAGGGAACATGTTCTGCCCGGTGGTGTAGGGTCCTGATTACCCCAGGTTTGTGTTCCAGAGGGTGATGGGAGTCAAACAGGAGGTACTGGTCCGTGTGTGTGGGCTTCTGGTAAACTTCGATGTTGAGGTTGCCGTTCTCTTCAATGAGCACAGCGCAGTCCAGGAAAGGCAAACAGTTGTCCTTTGTGTCTTCCCTGGTGAACTTGATGTTTTTATCCACAGCGTTAATGTGCGCAGTGAAGGATTCCACTTCTTGTGTCTTGATTTGACCCAGGTGTCGTCCACATATCTGTACCAGTGGCTGGGTACTCTTCCTTTGAAAGAGCCAAGAGCCTTTCTTTCCACTTCTTCCATGTAAAGGTTGGCTACAATAGGTGACACGGGGGAGCCCATGGCACAGCCATGTTTTTGTCTGTAAAAGCCCTCGTTGTATTTGAAGTATGTAGTGGTGAGGCAGAGGTCTAACAGTGTGCAGGTCTGATCGGGTGTGAAGTTGGTCCTGTCCTCCAAGGAGCTGTCTTCTTGTAGTTGTTTTCTGACAGTCTCCACTGCCTCCGTGGTGGGTATGCAAGTGAAGAGTGAGACTACATCAAAGGACACCATGGTTTCATCTGGGTCCAGGGTAAGTTTCTGGACCTTGTCGGTGAAGTCCGTGGAGTTCTTGGTGTGATGTGGGGTGTTCCCCACAAGAGGTGCTAGGACAGTAGCAAGGTGTTTCGAGGTGTTGTAAGTGGCTGAGTTTATGCTACTGACAATGGGTCTGAGTGGGACAGCTTCCTTGTGGATTTTAGGAAGTCTGTAAATGCAGGGTATGGCATCCCCTGGGTAAAGGCGGTGATATGTAAGGCGGTCAATGATTTTGTCCCTTTCAAGGTCTTGAAGGCAAGTTATAACTTTCTTTTTGTAGCTGCTTGTGGGGTCTCGCTTTAAGGCTTCGTAGGTATTGTTGTCACTGAGGAGAGTAGTGATCTTTGTGTGGTAATCTGTTGTGTTTAGGACCAGGGTTCTTTTCTTGTAATGTGAGGTTAGACGGAGGGACTTTGGCACTGGAGAGGGTGGCTGAGACTTTCATCCTGATTTGCTCTGCTTCTGTCTGTGATAATTTATTAATCAGTATGGCGGTTTCTGTGGCTGTGATGAGGTCCACTATGGGCAACTGTTGCGGAGAAATGGCAAATTTGAGTCCTTTGGCTAACACTTTCTTTTCGGGTTCAGTGAGATTCCGGTCTGAAAAGACCGGAGTGGCCTTAACGCCCACTCACATCTTGGGTCATCTGACCTCGGGACATCACATGATAGGGTGGGGCCAGGTTTCACAATGAGCTCACCCGAAACCCTGGCTGATTGGGACCCACACCCGTTTTCTCATTTTGGCTCATGTGATTAGGTAGAGGATCATCAGGGGGTCCTTTGTCCCTCTTTGGGGGGAAGCTCCCACTGGGTTTATATCTGGGACTCTCCGCCATTTGACCCTTAGAACTGAAGAAGCTTCTCGGATGAGAGGTGAAACGTCTTCAAGCAACTCAAAGAAGTCCAGACGCTTTTCTTTCCAAGCTCCTTAGACTTTTTTTGTTCATTCATTTTTTTTATGACATCACTTTGATTAGTTGAGTATCTGAGGCTGAGACCACGGGACTGTAAAACATTATTCTTGGGTTTCATTTCTGTACTGAACAGACATTTCAAGATTAGTTATATAGCAATATAACTAGCAATTAACTAATGTTGTTCATGAGACTAAAGTCATCTCACTTTGGTAATGTAAATATAATATGACCAATATTATATTTATTGTCAGATTATTATGATATATTACAGCAGTGAGTTTGAACTCTGTGTCAAACATTCAAGTTGCAGTCATTTATATTTCCTATCAACTTAAATCTTCACTCAAAGACAAGTATCTGTGACAGTGTATATATAAATGTATTAAATATAAGAGACAAATATTGTTCGTTTAATACGTTGGCATTATTACATTTGGCTCAATCCTTACATATATGTGTAAAAAGAAAATGTACAAGCTGTGATAACTGTTTCTGATAGAATGAAGAGTAGACTGATATATTAAATTGTCATATCGGGTGAGAAAATCAGACCATGTCATAACTGCTTTCAGTCATACAGAATAGATATCAGAGCCTTAAACAGGCTGACTTCTGCTAAATGGGTCAAACTGGGCAGAAAGTATACAAACACATAACATCCTTATAGAAAATAATGTAACACTATAGCTCAACTTACCTCAGAATATATAAAGCATAAACAGTTACAGCAATATGATGCAACAAACACAGCAGCTACTGATCCAAAATCCTCAAAGCTTCATAGAACTGGAACAAACATCTATTTTTAGTTCCATTCTGCTGCTGATACATACTTTAGGTTTCTGAATATTAAACTTGTTGCTGCCTTTCATAGTGTGTAACTTGAAGGCCCTGAGTACTTTCTCCCACACTGAAAACACTGGAATGATCAAATTATTTGAACATTACCTAATTAGACTGATTCAGGACAGGACATGTTAAACTTTCCTAGCAGTCCTTCACAAACAGGGAACAGTCTGTCTATTCTCTCCATCTGTCAGCTGCTGCTGGCTCTTCCTCCTCCTCTTCCTCACACACTGCTGAGTTTGTCCTGGTGGATCATCAGGGGTGCAAAGCCTCACAGATGATGTGCAGCAGTGGGTCCCTCAGTCTGTCCTCACTCTGGACACTTGCAGTTGTCACACATGGAAATCAAATGTGTGATAAGCTGCAGGATTCAAACACAAGTGTAACTTATAAATACATGTTCATACTTTTATTCCACAATCAGAGAGAAAGAAACAGAGAGAGATTGCAGGACAGACAGACAGGTGACAGTCTCAGGTGTACACACTGCTACACAACAGCACCAGAGAAGCAGGATTTAGTGTTTGTGTTGTTACGAGTGCTAAACAAGAAGAGTTCCAGATGGTACAGTGGACACATGTGTGACTGCTGTGATTAAAGCATCTTTCTTTCAGCTTAACGAGTGAACCGTCAGCTCGTTCAAACATACGTTAAAGTCCGTTTGGCTCGACACCACCGAACAGAGGCAGCAATATAACACAGCTCACATTAACAGTGGAGTGGATCCTGCTTGTGCTGTGATATTCAGGACTGCAAACCGAGCAGCATCACTGAGTTCTAACAGCATTCTAACATCTCACCTGTTGTGTGCC